TAGTAATAATAATAATAATAATAATAATAATAATAACAATAATAATAATAATAATAATAATAATCATGATGATGATGATAATAATAATAATAGTAGTAGTAGTAGTAGTAGTAGTAATAATAATAATAATAATAATAATAATAATAATAATAATAATAATAATAATAATAATAATAATAATAATAATAATTGAGAGACGATTTAATTAAAAAATACCAAAACAAATACTCTGTAGTTCTTTTTATACCTATGAATGAAAATATTCGGTTGCAATTTTTTACTCCCTCCTTCCGCTTCAAAAATTAGTTTCACTTTTTTTTGCACAGCTCACAAAACACTTCTATCTCACCTAAGACGTCTAAAATACCTTAAAACAATTTTTATGGTAATAAATAATTTATTTTGGGAAATAATTTTAGATATCTTAAATGAGATAAAAGTATTTTGTGGGTTGTGCAAAATATGAAAAAAAAAATTATTTTTTTAAAAAGAGAGAGTATATACTCCCTCCGTTCCAATTTAAATCGCCTGTTTTGATTTTTGGGCATATTTAAAAAAAATAAAAAATAGAGTTGATTTTTCGAAATTGTCATTACTTTTTAGAAGAGGTGTAGTAGATATATTTAATGCACAGAGAGAAAAAACTTTCGCCCATGAAAGATTAAAGACATATGAATGATAAATTATATTTAGAGTATTTAGTTCCAATTGAACTAAAAAATTTAAAGCCAAATTTTGTTGGTCACTCATTTTTTGAGGACCTCATTGGAAGCCCATGCAAAGACTCACTTTGCACTTGCCCAGGCAAGTTATAGCTTTTGGATTTTAAAAAAAGTTTTTCAAGGGCTGGGAAAATACACCTTGGGTCTCTTTGTTTGGGCCTCTCTTACCTGATTCTCAACGGATAGCTGTAAAAAACATATTTGAATCTTGACGGACTTCCTTAGCCCAAATTCTTAAAAATGAACTGTTAATTTTGGCCTGCCCAAATGTCACTACGCCATTTTTACGTTATTTATACTGAACACATTTGATTATTTTTTTAAAAGTTACACATTTAATTATTAGCTTTAAAAAGAACCGTCATTAGCAATGCCCAAATTTCCCCATAAGCCAAAATTTGATGGTACGTAGTACATTATAATTAGGGGTGGGCATAAATAGTCATCGTTTCGAACTGGACTGACATTGTACTGAATGAAAAAAGTCTTCAAATGGTGCTAGTAAATTATACTCTTGAAGGGAACCATCTTCAACTAAAAATACCGAACAGGACCGCTTCCACTAAAATGTCACGGAGTAAATTATTAAATTAATTATACATTTTTTATTATCTTTTAGTAAACTGAAGTCATATTTATTGTGTGAACTGGGACTCCCATGTCATCTTACGACTCAGGTTCCCACTGGATCCTACGGTGTTCTGTTCGTAAAACTCATGTTTTTTTTCCCACATACCCCCCTCCCCGATAACCCCTGGCCGGACTTGAAAACACCCCCTTCAATTGCATCCTTTAAATTTAGTTAAATTTCAATTCAACTTTTGACTCCGAAATCAACTAAATTTAGGTGTACAACTGAAGGACCTAGAGGTGGGTTCCGGATGGGCTGAGATAGGCGTTTTTTCTGGAAAAGTTGAGTGAGGTAAGAGCAATCAATTTTTTGAACGAAGCACCATAGGACTCCGAGTCTTCCCATAAGCTTGGTTCCAAATGTTATCAGAAGATTCTAATCAATAAAACTTAAAAACTTCGGCTTCCACTATTTTTATGCATCTTTAATCAATAATAATATTATTTGTAATATGTATTGACTTTTTTTTATAAAAAGTATTATGAATTGAGAAGCAATAAAATAATTTAGGAAACTAAAATTGAATAAGTTAAACCCACTCCAAAAAAAACTCCCTAAGACTAAAAATTTTACTCCTTATTATACAAATCTAATTTCTTACAAACATGCGGAGTATTTTGGGATTCTAAAAAACGCATACTACCATCCTAGAATAAGATCTCACAATTGACCAAACACAATTTTTTTAAATGTAAAATTTTTTTTATGATTGCATTTCATGCAAATTGGAGAGCATTGGGAGCGGCGTTCCAAGCCAATGCCATGCCATGCCACCTAGGACCAATACCATGCCACCTAGGATAAAAAAGTTTCCTTCCTTGCGTGGAAGCACCGTTCCTCCATGGAGTGCAAGGCTTGGGCGAGGCACATATAACTTTTTTTTTACTTTTCAATTTTTATTTGAGAAAGATTTTTTTTGTAAAGTAATAGAACTATTTTTTACTTTCTCTATCTCGCAATAGATTATAATACCTCTCGATATCTTTTGTTTATTTGTATGTTTTCATTGATTATTTAATTAAAAAAAATTTGTCACAACTTTTTTTGTAGAACTTTTGATGTAATTTTTAAATTTATAAGTTTTATTTTTAATTCTTATACCAATTTTTAAATGAAATGATTTTTAAAAATAGAGAGTTTTTGCATCATAATTCTAAAATAATGAAGCCGAAATTGAGATGAATTAGGAATAAATAAAAATATGGAGTAGATAACAAAAACATTTTTAATAATTAAAATATATATAAAAAATTATTTATTTGAGTAAATAGAAATATTTTCATGATAAAAATATATAAGTAAAATAATTTTTAATAATTCAAATATGGCAAAAATATGAAAAAAGTGATGAAAACAATAACTGCCACTCCACTCACGTGCCACTCGTTGACTGGACTTTTTTTTTATTAGTTGACATGCTCCACGTCAGCGTGTGACATTCCATTTTTGTCTCACCATTGTTCATGCTCTAAATGATACTCGTATAAAACCAAACATTTTCTTATAAAAGAGAGTGAAACCTTATTAAAGGACACGAGTGATGCATCTTATTCTACTCGGACAAGGTGGTCGTCAACCTATGCGACTAAAAAAACATCACAAAGTACTAGTCTACTCCGTAGTACTATTGTTTATAAGCCTACTTACTTTAATACGGAGTAATTTAATTTGCTAGTTTGGTTAAATTGGTCATTCACACCTAACATGTCTGCTATAACTAGTTGAATGAAACATCCTCAGCATAAAAAGAAATGAAGAAAATAACACTTTGTCATTTTTTGATGAGAAAAACAGAGAGGGGCAATTTTCATACCGTTTATTTTTGCACACAATGGACCCGATCCTACCCGAACCATAAACTAACCGAAACCACAAAGTAACAATGCAAAGAGCACCAGACTCTTCTAACAATAGACCTCCAGAGTTCAAATTTAATAGCGTATGTTTAAAGAAGGAAGAGATATTGATGATGATGATAAAGTATAGAATGAGAAGAAAAGGGTTTTACTTGAGTTGAACCACCCATCCCATCTTATCCTCTGCAATTCCCATTTGAAGTCTAGTCAGTGCCGAATACAATTGCTGTGAGACCACACCAACGCCATTGCCACCATAACTCACCCTGCACATACAATGTTCTTAAGAACACCTAGTAACAGTCAAATTTGGGAACATAGATTGAGATGAGAAAAACAAGAGGGAATTGGGATGAGAAAGCTTGCCTTTTCCCTAAATAGGTTATGCTACCGACGGGTGATACAACCACAGCTGTACCAGTACAGAACACTTCATCAGCATCTAGTAGTTCATCTACTGACACGAATCGTTCTTCAACCTACAATAATATAACAAATATTTTTTTTTATATAAATACTCCCTCCATCCATACGTAGCTGTCCACCTTCTACTATATTACAAAATATAAAAAACAATTCTTTAAGAAATGGTTTTAGAGCTAACTGGCCGATCCAAAGGAAGCCTCCCAGTTCAACCAGTTTTAGTTTAAGTATGAAATGATTAAAACTGCACATACACAACACTCCAAACAAAGCAAACTATTGGATCTCAAAACAAAAAAACCAAAGTTACATCTGTATGAAGCCAGGGTAATGCAAAAAATGAAGAGAAATGAAAGGAAAAACATATCTTTTTGGACTTTCTTTTTCTGGAGAGGGGAGAGGGTACCTGGAAACCTTGGCTGACAGCAACATCAATTATGCTCTTCCGGGTTATACCAGGCAGGATGGTCCCTTTTATTGCTGGAGTTACAATCGTATTACCCTGAAAGGATGAAGAGGGAGAGGAGGCAGGTTCACTGTTAATGCATTTAAAAAACACTGGCTAACTTCAAATGATTTAGTGAATGACTTCTATATTGTTATTTCAATAAAAAGAACCGCCACTCTCCAACCTCCCTTTACTGCTATTTACCTTCACAACAAACACATTGCAAGAAGAAACCTCTTCCAGATATCTATTGTGAACACTGTCGAGGTATAGAACATCAGAATAGCCTTTTTCTTTAGCAGCACTCTGTGCCTTCAGGACCTATGAATTTACAATTGCAAAGGATACTAGCATAAATCAGTCTTCATTTAAACAGTGGGATGTTATTATGTTTTAAAAATGGGACTTGAATGAAATAAGCTCTCTGTGAGATGAGACTACTTACTGCAGCATAATTTCCTATAGTCTTGACGCTTCCAGTACCCCCAGGGGTTGCACGATGCATTTCAGTTTCAACCACCAGATTTATTGGTGCTAAACCTTCCTGCCATTATAAAAATAACCACACAAAAAATGTGTAAAGCAACTATAAACTCGAACAGCTCTCCCTGCGTACATGACAATAGACATAGCATATGCTACGCACGAAAGCTTGATAAGTTGATATATTATAAGAACCCGTACAAATAATGCATTATGTATTATAACCTAGAAAGTTGACACACATATACCTTGAAGTAGTTACCCACAGGCGAGACATAAATCAAAAAGGTATATTCTGGAGCTGGGGCAAGGCCAAGGACAGCTCCACTCCCCATAAGCAATGGTCTAATGTACAATGATCCTTTACCCGGTGGTGGAATCTGAAACAAGTAATAAGATAATATTGATCAAAGTCCCTAATTTATCAAATACAGAGTATAATATGTGGACCTGGTTTTGTTTGGATTGTGGAAAATGGCAGTTATAGGGAAAAAATTCCAATTATTTTAATACTTTTACAATGCTTACAGATTTTAAATATTAACTAGTCTTCATATAACTGAAATATATAAACAAAATGTTTTTGAACAAAGATCTATAAGATAATTATTGAGTTCAAAGAAATCTCAATATTTTCCTCAAGATTTGTTTCATTCGAAATATCCTAGCAATTCTCTTTCCCTAGCCATCGCATATTACAGGTTTCAAACAAACCCTAATAGGCCAAAGGTAGTTTTACCCATCTCTTGTTTGCGAAAACAGTAGCTTTCACTGCATCAAGAAACTGCTCAACTGTTGGTGAAGGCATGCACATACGCTCAGCACCAATCTTCAAGCGCAGCGCATTTTCCTCAGGTCGAAACAGCAAAATGTTTCCATCATCTTTTCTGTACGCTTTTAGACCTTCAAACAATCCCTGAAGTATAAACACAAGAAAAGCTACCTCACACAGAAGTATAGGATATTTCGAGTCAGAATCTTATGCTATTCTTATCCAGCCGATAACAAAAGGGTCAAATAAAAACCTGGCCATAATTTAGTATCCCCGCAGATGGGCTCAACTCGATGTTCCCAAAACGCTGTAATTCGCCTTTGGTAAAGTTTTTGCCTTGAGCACATTTCATGATATACATGTAATCAGTAGGCACAAATCCAAATCCGAGGTTGTCCCAATCAATGTCTCCTAATTCACTTGTAACACTGCTGCTGTCAAATTAGGGGAAGATTTTCCATGAATAAACTGATCACTTTACTGAGAATGCTAAACCAATCAATTTTACAATATACTTATTACCTAGAACTGAGAGAAAGAAAAAAAACTTTCACATCTAAGACAATTCAAGTGAAAACCAATGCAACAATTGTGAAAAATAGTAAATGTATAAAGCTTTGCAATCCTTGTAAAATCTATCAAACTTCAACCAAAGAAAAAGAGGATAACATGGAAATCACAAACCTCGTGGGCGATGCCACTCGCAGAGTATTATTACAGTGAGAAACATGCGGCTGCTTTTGCAAAAAAAAAAAAAACTAAGAAATTAAGAATTTCACATAGAGAAAAGGAAATGCAAATACAGAGGACAAAATCAGAATACCTTGACAATGAGAGGGCAAAATTGCCTTCTATTAAGAGGCGGAAACTCAGCAGGGCCTCGAGGGGGGAGGAGGGGACGGTGGCAAAGACCGGGAGTAGCCTGAAGTCCGGCGAACACGGCAGCGCATTCCATTTCTTCTCTCTGGCTTATTTGCCCTGTTGGGCTATTGAAGAGGAAATAAGGTTGAGTCCAATAACAATGGAAACTCATAAAAAGGTAATAGCGCTAAAGTAGGAAACAATCTCTGCCTTAATTACAGTGGCGGCGGCGGCTTCTCGGCGATTAGGGCATCTCCATCAAGGAATACGGAGTCATGAATGGAGAACCAAAGTGAAATAGAGATAGGGGAAGACACTCGCAGCTTTTTAGTTTTGCAAATATTCACTCAGTCAAAAAATGTTCTTTTTCTGGGTCAAAATTTATAAACTTTTGCTACGATTTGTGGAAAAAACACATTATATTATGATGTAAATTTAATTTCAATATATTCATAATGAAATGCAGTTTTCAAATATCAAATTTTTATAAAATATGTATCTATGTATAAATATAGATATTAATGGTCAAAGTGCAATATTGGAGACCGTGAAATGTCAAGTGGGAAGAACATTTCCGGATAGAGGGAGTAATAAAATTTGAACCAAATTTTAAAAATAAACTTGTTATTTATTGAAAAATATATATAAAAAATATTTATGTTTATATTATATTACGGAGTAATATATATATTCGCCTCAAGATTTTCGATATCGAAAGTTACCTTGTACCGTTCTTAATACCGAACTAAACATTCGGTTCGATGCGATACCGTAATTTAGCGGTATCTTTTCGATTCTATATTTTTCGGTCCGGTTTCCTCATTTTTTCCAGAAATTTTCAATGTCAGTTCGGTACTTGTTCACCCCTAATTCAAAATTTCTTTTTCTAAATGTTTTAGAATGAAATTAGATTTCTTTAAAATAAAATTAAATAATTTGTATTTATTTTTTTCATTTTTTTCTTTAACTTTATTCCGCAAAATTGTAAAAATGTTAATATTAATATATTATAACCAAAAATGCACAAAAAGGAAATCCGTGTAAAAAAATAGACGTTTTATATCGAGCACAACTAATTAAAATTTTGGAAAGTTAAAGGACTTTCTGAGCATTTACACAAATTCTGATTTTTTTTGTTTTTTGCAATTCATACAAGTTAACTACTCCATAGTTTCTATCACAAGCTTTACACGGACTTGTATGCTCATATATCTCACATCCTATACTCATGGATTCTAATTAGGTTATTATTGTTGTACTCCGTATATTTTATACACATATAAATTTGATATTCTATAAAATAGAATAAAATGATAAACTAAAATAAGGAAAGAAGAAAATATGATTCCTTCTGTTTTAGTAAGAAAAAAAAGAGCAGGATTTTGAAAGAAACTAGAAGAACTGGAAGGAACTGGAAGAAATCTAAGTAACTGGAAAAAACTTGAAGAAACAGGAAGGAACTAGAAAATATTAAAAAAATTATTTAAGTTATTTTTTATGTTATCCTCATTCAAACTCTTGTTGTTATAATTTATTATTATTATTATTATTATTATTATTATTATTATTATTATTAGTTTTATTATTATATTTATAATCACGTTATTTTAATCAATGTGTTTAAGATAAAAAAAGTCATTTTTCAAACACAAAAATTTACTTCTGAAAAAATATATTTAATTAGAATATAAAGTTAGCATAAATATTAAAGTGTTAAATTTTAAGAATTTATTGTGTTTAGGTTTCATCTCAATTTTTTATGCAATATTTATTATAAAATAATATATTTGCAATTATTTTTATATATTACATGATTTTATTTTAAATATTACACATGTCACATAATATAATCAAATCTATTTTTTCATTGTAACTCTTATTTTGGGATTAAAAAACATAGAACTTGTATTTTGGTAAATTTTTATGTATTACTCATAGTTTAGGTTTTTTCTCTAAAATATTTTAACTTTCAAAATTTTTTATAAAAATTTGAAAAATGTTTTCCTCATATCAATTTAGAAGAGACTCAATCATAAAAATAGTGACATAGAAAAATTAAAAAGTAAAATAATTTACTCCATATATACTATAGTTATGAAATAGTAATACGGAGTAATAATAACTATAATGGAGATAATACTAGTATTATTATTATGATAATAATAATAATGATGATGATGATAATCACATTAAAAGTACATCATTGTTAAAGTAATTGTTCGGGCAATAGAAGGAGTTTGAAGAAAATGAGAATAGTGGAACTGAAAAAAACTAGAAGAACGGAAAAAAACAACTAGAGTATATCAGTTTCTAACGTTTAATCACTTCCGCAGCATTTAATATAAAATGATACACACTTACGTACAATAGTTGCTGGTACTTTCATTTTACATAAATGAATACCCTGAGTATAAATTAAAAATATTGTGTGTTTTTATTGCTACCCCTATAGGAATAAAAAACGTTTCACACCTATAAACGTGTTAGCCTATTGAAAAACAATTCATGAAATGTGATGCTTAAAGATACAGCTAGTAACGGTTTGCATAAAATAATACGGAGTAATGCATGGTACACTCCGTACATAAGTACTTAACACAATTGTACTAAATGTACAAAATTTACAGTGTTACCGAGAGGGGTTGGGTCGCTGGAGGTTTCACTCATCGCCCCTTCTTTCCAAGCACACCACCTAGCTTAGCTAGGTTCAGTCGGTTTCCTTGTACCTGACCGCTAGACACTTTGTAAGCGAAGAAAATTTACCCTTTTAGACTCAAAGTAACTGTTCAACCAGCCCTCGATCAGCTTTACTTCAGATGCTCTTTGGTCCACCAGCCAATCCGGATCCTCAGCCGTTGCTGCACGTAGATCTAAATGATGGGCACCTAAGACAAACAGGGTTCATGAATTCGGTAGAAATGTGATAATAATGTGACCTATATTCGGTACATTAATAATGTCCAAAATGGATCACTATGAGTTTTCAGTCAGCAGTTGAAACCTAATTCTTTAATGTGACCAAGCCAGCCAAGAGCACATATGAAATCAAAATGAAGTTACCTCTTTCAGTAACAAGAGCAACAATGGTGTCTGATATGTTCTCTAGAACGCTGCAACACAAGATCCATTCCCAATTTTCCATCAAAACTTTTCAGCTACATATTGTATTTGTAATGTGTGTAATGGGCCAAAAAGTACCTGCCACCACTCCATGGGTCTAAGAGACCGTTTGAGAATATGATGTTGCTACCAAAAGTCCCAAGAGCCGTCTTGATGTCCTTTAAACAAGAAAAATAGGCTTTGTTCTTATGATGAAGAAAAGAAGACCAGAGTGTGTCAAGAATCCATTTAGGACTCCTAGAAATTTGATAAGCTCTAGCAGCAATTCCAAAATTACTAGCATGTCACAAGTAGATGAGGACAGACACTATAGGCTCTCAATTATTTGACATTCGGTATTCCGGGACGGACCTATACTCTTTGTTTGCCATTTTTATGGCAAACCCACCTCGATTCTATTCCTTTTGAGCCAAGGTATATTAGAAACAATTTGTCCACCTTTCACGGGTAGAGCCGTAGAGGTAAGGTCTACATACATCCTACCCTCCCCCAACGCACTTGTAGGAATACATCCTGCTTATGAGTGAGATGCACTCCTTCCCCCTTTTGAAATCATTACCCCGTATTTCGTATTTAGGTTTATGTGGGTTCTTTTGCTGATATAAAACCCACCCTATACACCCTAACATTTAACGGTGTAAACAATATTTTTAATGAGTCTTATTGTATCAAAATTATCAACTGAGGAATAAATTTTTCAAAATATGGACATGCTTAGATGCCATAATATCAATGAATAAGAGGGGAAATGAATGAAGCCCATTTGGTAATACTCCCTCGCCCCTCCTTCCAAAATCAAACTTTTCATTGGCTTTTTTCAAGGAGTTCAAGAAAAAGTGAAAAGGTGTGGTTAAAATTTTAGTAGTTCACAAAATTTAAGAAAATTGAAATTGTGTGGTTAAGATTTTTGCAGAGAGAAAAATGGTGTTAACCATTCAATGTTCTTCTTAAAAGAAATTTGAAGTTCATTTTGGACAACCGCAAAAAGAAAAACGAGAAGTTTTTTTTTGAGACTGAGGGAGTAAGAGTAATTAGGCAAATATGCCTTAATCTGCTTTATTCTCTAAAAAACATTCACTTTTCTGATTATTCTGCTTACTACTGGTTAACAAATGGGGCTCAAAAATATGATTTTCTATTATTAAGTACTCCCTCTGTCCGAATGTAATTGTCCCCTTTCTTATTTTCATTTGTACGGAATTTGTTGTCCATTGTCTATATTCAATAAGAAAATAATGATGAATTGCCGAAAATATCTAAGGGTTACGGTATGAGCATTGTTGATATGAATGAGTGACCAACTCATTTGAAGGACATATTTGACATTTTACACACATTTCTTGAAAATGAGATTTTTTTTAGAAAGGGCCAAAGGGGACAACTATATCCAGATGGAGGGAGTATATAAAGGTATCAAATGAGAGGCATACATGTCCACCAAACTCTGTTGTAATCCATGTAGGCCTTGGAGTGACATGGTAACTCTTGTAGCAATACTCTTCATCAGACTTGTAGTCATACTCGAACGCTGGGAACATACTTGTGTTTTTGTTACTTGCCATTGGCATAATCATTTCAGTGCATGCCTGTAAAATAAACACTTTTTAGAGGAAGCACAATTGCAAGTTCTGACCTGTAAATTTGCTTTAGAACAAAAAGGCCGCAAAAAGGAGCAAGAATATACAAGTGGTAGCATCAATGCACCTGCCAGTCCCAACCACTCATGCCATGAGGATCGTCATCAAGGCTGGAACAGTTAACCGTTCCAGTGTAGTTGTAGTNAATGCTCTCCGACAAGAAATTCACAAAGAAGTATTTGTCGGAGAACCAGAAGAGGTTGAAGGAGAGGCACGAGATGTTGGTTGCCGGACTCCGGGAAGCGGGGATCGAGTGCCTAGAGAGCAACGCGGGATTGTTCTGCTGGGTGGACATGAGACACCTCCTCAGCTCAAACACATTCGAGGCGGAGATGGAACTGTGGAAGAAGATGGTGTACCAAGTGGGCCTCAACATCTCTCCCGGATCATCTTGCCACTGCACCGAACCTGGCTGGTTCAGACTCTGCTTCGCCAACATGTCCGAGGAAACACTTGCTTTGGCATTGAAACGGATAAGTTCGTTCGTGGCGTCCGAGCAACCTGCGGCGACCGGAACGACGAGCCCTCGGAATTCGACGAATAAGAGCAGCAAGAGGAAAGGATTCACAAAATGGGTTTTCCGATTATCGCAAAACAACGACCGTAACAGAGAGCGATAGTCTGGGCTTGAATTTGTGAATTCTTGAGTCAAAATTCAATTCTTTTCTTCATTTTTTAGTCACTCGACAAATTACAATATTCTTTTTAGGCCAACCCAGTCGTCCTTACGGCTAGTGGTTTAACTCTTACTTCACTGTGTAAACATTCGGTCATGAATATATGATTTTCAATTTCTCACAACATTTTTTTTTAATTATTTTCCACATTGTTTCCATTTATTGAAGGCGTATCATTTGTTATTGAACGGGGTATTAAAATTAGATTTATTTTGATTTTTTTTCTTCAAAAATTTCAGGAGTGTGGTCAAAGTCAAAATGAAGCCAATGATTAAAAAGCGGACATGCCAAAGTTGATAGCACTACTGTTAAGATTTAGGGATAATTAGCGACCTCGTAATTGCTAATCATCTTCTGACGGTTTTAATTATTGTGCTTTTTGAAGAGAGAAGTCAGATCCAGTTCAAAATTAATTCCAGAAAATTTTGTTCTTTAGTTCGATGTTGACTATCGAACTGGCTGGCTACAGTTCAAAACTCATTTAAAAACTGAGTACTGGTTAAATAAATACTCCCTAAATCTGAGGTATATAAGAGTGTGAGCTGTAAATTACACGTATTAGAACTACTCATTCAAATACTTTCTCCCTCCCTTAAATGTTTATCAAATTCTAAAAAATAAGGTAAAATATCAAATTTTTTCAATTAATTTTTTTAATTATTGGTATGGAAATAAAAAATAAAATTTATATTTTTAAAAACTACATGAAATTTTTTTAAAATAAGAATTGTTAACAAAATTTTATTTTATCAAATAATCAATGAAAACATACAAATAAACAAAAGTTCTTGTGATGATTGAAAAAGGAAATGTGACGAACATTTTGGGACGGAGGGATTAACTGTTAATTGTTTTGTTGGTATGGGTTGCAATTTGATGCTTTTAAATACTTCACTGTTTTTATTAAGAAATTCATATACTCATATCTCAAATTTATTGTCTTTATTTATTTTCTTTATTTATTTCACCGATTTTTAGGACCTCTTTTTAATTTGTTGGAGTAAAATTGAACAATAAATTCATTTCATAAAGGGAAGAAATAAATGCCCAATGGTAAAATTAATTTTAAAAATGACAAAACGGTGGCGCCTGGGTCCCAAGAGCAGACTTCCGCAGAGTGGGAAGCAGATGAGTGAGGACAAATAATGATGTTGACGGAATTTCATTTTTACCAAACAGAAGAAAATAAAGAGAAAAAGAAATCCACGTCGGCGTGTGATGTGGCACTGGAAAATCATTGATGTGCATGGGAGTCATGTGGTATTCACATGACAAGGCCATGGTATCACATGCGCGGTGGGCCCCGTACGATCGAACAGAAAAACATCAGCCCAAATATTTCCATCGAGGCATAGTGAACAGGTCGGGCGATGTTACGTTTTTTAGGGCTTTTCATTTTTTTAATGCCTCTTTTTGGCGTGACATATTAAATTCATGTTCGTATAAGGACCGGACCGGTCGGCTTATGGTTCAAACGACAGTGATGGAACATTCTAATATGTATCGAAGGACTGTCCCCACTGCCCACTCCTTTGCCTTTTATTTTATTTACAGTATTTAATTACGGACTATTTTTTTTAAAAAAATAAATTTTCATTTGTATTCCTTCTGTCCCAATATAGCTAGTGTGTGTAAGTGATAATTATTCAACAATTTTTTATTTATTGTGACATTTTTATGGTAAATATGTGTAGTTGTATATCTGAAAAATGAAAAAATAATTCAATAGCAATTTAATAAATTGACTTATTTAAGTTCACGAAAAAAGAGTACTCCAAATTCCATTTTATATTTTGACTTTATGAAATTTAAGAGAGAGATATTTTTATACTTATTTTTTAAAAATGATTTTGATGTGATGGGTAAAGTGGAATGAAATGTACATGTAAATTTTAAGTGAACAAATATGATGTGATTTGTAAATTTTTTTGGACATAGAGAATGTATTTTAGAGTACAATTTTAATACATTTAACTATTTAAGACAAGAGTGGTCATTTATTGTATATATGAGTCAAATACAATTAAAACATAAGGTAGTATATATGTTCCTCCATTGTCTTAATAATATAAATAGATTTCTTACTTAGGCCAGACAAAACACTAGAACGAATCTTTTTGTTTCCACCCTATAAATGCTTTTCTTTCAGGTAATTATATACACCTCCGTCTGTCCTAGAAATCTTTTTTAGTTATTATTTTGATATTTTGATAATTTTTGTTTATTTCTATGTTTTAATTGATTCAATAATAAAATAAAATAATCTTATTATATATTCTTTTATTATAATTAAGAAATATTTAACTTGCATTTTTTATGAAATAATTGACAATTTGTATAATAAAATATTTTTTTTTTTAAAAAATAAACTTTACAGATTGTTCAAACTGAGAAAAGATTTGCGTCGGTGGGAGTATTAAATTGTTTTTTGCCGCAAAACAGGGAGCATTGTACATGTTTTCATAGATACTGCATTGTCTCTCTACCCACTAGATATGTTCGGCGCCCCCGGTGGTATATATATATGTATGCATGATTGCATGTCCACGCAAAAAGAACCTCATCCAAGAGCGAGCTTTTTAAAGGAGGTAAATTGGGTTTTAATAGCTGATTATTGTAATAAAGAGTAAAACTTACTCTTGGTACAAACGTATCTCTTATCCATATATAATTATCTTTTAGTGTAGTTGCAAGAATCGAACTCGAATATTACCCTCCAGGCAACATTTATCTTGTCAACTGCGCAACATTCATCGATTGGTGTACATGTCATATAAATGGTTTGTTTAGATTGAGAATGTATATCGTACCCATGATGTTAAATAATCAGTAAAAAAATTCAAAAAAACGTGGTGGATTTCCCTAAATAAGTTTTTTTAGGACCACTAAATAATTTAGTCTTTTATTTATTGCCACTTCAAAATAACTACAACAAATTTGTTTTCTGAACAGAAGTAAAACCTTCATCTCAAATTAGATGTCACACTCCACATTAATTGTAAAAACCACACTTCTTTTAAAATTATTTTAATTAAAAATTAGTGTAGAAATAAAAATTATAAATTACATTGTTCAAAAATAAATAAAAAATTCTACGAAATAAGAGGCAATAAAAATATGTAATTTTCCCAAACGATCAATGAAAATAAACAAACCAAATTCGTTTAAAGACCGTAATATGTAGTAAGAGTGACATCCATTGTGGGATATAAGAAATAATATTAAGTAAAGTATCGAATCAAATAAAAGTAAAAATAAACTCTGTAATACGAGTAATATAATGTGAGAATAAAAAACTTTGTGATGAACATAATAATAATAATAATAATAATAATAATAATAATAATAATAATAATAATAATAATAATAATAATAATAAAAATAATAATAATAATAGTAATAATAATAATAGTAATAATAATAATAATAATAATAATAGTAATAATAATAATAATAATAATAATAATAACAATAATAATAATAATAATAATAATAATCATGATGATGATGATAATAATAATAATAGTAGTAGTAGTAGTAGTAGTAGTAATAATAATAATAATAATAATAATAATAATAANGCCGCAAAAAGGAGCAAGAATATACAAGTGGTAGCATCAATGCACCTGCCAGTCCCAACCACTCATGCCATGAGGATCGTCATCAAGGCTGGAACAGTTAACCGTTCCAGTGTAGTTGTAGTAGACACTAATTCCTTCGAATATTCGCTGCAGAATATTGGTTCCATTGGGTAAACTATCCATTCTCCGACAGACCTGAAAAAACATATATTAAATGGTAATAAATGAAAATACAACCGGATGTGGATTAGTAGATGTGGATTTTAACAAGAAGAAATAGTGAAAAATTAGTAGAACTGGATTTTAACTGGAAATCTATATGAAAACAAGGTCAAGTGTGTGACAACAAACGTTCGGACTTCTCGGAAGTGTTAGGATCCAAGCCGCAAAAGATTCATTCAAGACACGGAAGTTGTGGAATCTAAGGGCTAACGTACAAACCCAGAGATTCAGAGAATACAAACACACACACACACACACATTCCCTCCAACCCAGATAGAACTTCATGGGTTTTTTGGATGTCACCCTTCTACTTTTTCCTTTTAACACTATGTTTGGTTCAAGAAATTTCAAAGGGAAAAAGAAAAGAAAATGAGATGAAAAACGTTTTCTCTTGTTTGGTTAGAGAGGAAAAGAAAAGAAAGTGGAAGGAAAAAAAATGATAAGGTAAAATGAACCAAGAGAAGAGAAATCAAAATTCATCTCATTTTGGCGAGGAAAATGAAAGAAAACCATTTTCTTTTCTTTTCTTTCCTAATTCCTTGAACCAAACATAGTGCAAATGTAAAAAAAATATGTGGCCTACAAACTTTCTCTCCTTACAAAAGTCAAGCGAAAGAGTTTTCTTGAACTCCGTAAAGTAAAAAAATGATGTTCTTTGTGGGAATGAGGGAGCATATAGGTACACACACACACACACTAATCACTTTGCTGTCAACTTTAAAGAAACACCAAATCAAGATGAAAACTAGAAGGTAAAGCAAACCTCTTTTATTGGATTTCCCGGTAAAGGCATTAGAAAATCTGAAGGGTATGGGTAATCAGCCATTGCCAAATAACTATATGCAGAATCCAACCAGTTAGAAAGGTCCTCAGCACTCTTTAGTTCCCTATCATTATAGAAGCCACGTCGAGTTCAAAAACTCCACAGAAAAAGAGTTAAAACAAAAGGAAGTCTTACATAAATGTCGAAATGGAAAAGTTTATATCAAAAGAAACAGCCATTGTCATGTATGCACTCACCCACAAAGATGGAAAGTCTTGCTCAGTAGCGAAAGTCCAGTGTTTGTCATTCCTAAAGACATTATTACATCCCATGACTCTCGGATAGTGTTGAAGCAGCTGACACTCTCACGCTGTCAGTAAAGGAGTCATTCATAACCACGATTCCAAGGATAATATACATCTAAGCTAGTGACCAAAAGAAACAAAAGTGGACAACGCACTCTAAAATTGTTGGAGACTATGTTGTAAAATGTGTCGGGAGACACAATATTTTCAAACTGGAGGATTGGGGCAGAAGCAGCGAGTGCACCTATGGAAAGGTGAGGATATTTAAGCCTCATCCATGTTGCAAGCACTGCATCCAAGAAAAGGATAAAAATCACAAATCATCTCTGGCAAAATCATACCGAGTAATGAAAATCAGATGGAAAGAATTGGTCTTACTTCCACCATATGATCCTCCAAATAAAATGACAGGACACAACTGTGCAGAAGCATTCCGTTTGAGCTCAGTGATTAACACAGCAAAATCTGCTAATGCCTGTTCGGATGTTAAATAAGCCAATGTCGTCGCGTTCTTATAAGCTTCATCCCTGCTCCCAAAGGGCATTGATTCACCATAGTATCGGTGCTGCCAATTTCAATTTCAAACCCTAATTAAAATTCTACCGACTTTTGCTCACATCTCTCCGTGCTAGCAAATGTTACCAGAGATAGGCTTATGAAATTTGATATTCAGATACTAAAAAAATTGGTATGAAAATTACTTCGGGGAAGATGACCATGGCGCCAAAGCGAGGAGCGAGTTCCCAGAGGAGACCTGTGTTGGCAGCAAACCATTCTATATCTCCTTCGTTCCCACAGTAGAAGAAGATGGGGGCAAGGCGAGAGGGGCCTGCCCAGTGCTCGGTACTGATAAGGTAACGCTGGCGAAACGGGGGGAGATCGGCGAAGCTGAAGTGGTCGAGCCGCTGTTGGAAGTAGCGAATCTCGTACTTGTACGGCGTGGCGCCGCCGATGGCCTTGGAGGGTAAGCGCAGGAATTTGTTTAGAAACGCAGGGACAGATTTAGAAGATCTCGGAAGTGAGTACGCCGTCGGCGGTGCGACGGAGAGCAGCAGGAGGAGTAAGCACAGTGTTATCGGCGGCGAACTCGCCATTGTTCGGTTTATCCGGTAGTGACGATGATTTGATTCCAGCGGTTCCGGGCCTAACGACTATGTACTTGGAAAAACGTGTCCCATTTATTCCTTCTCCCGCCTGGCCCAATACCATAACTCTTAACAGGCTATATTTGGGCTTTTGACGCAATGCCCAAATTACTCCTTAACATAATGAATGGTGTTTGAGTTAAAAGGTGTTAGAATGGGCCGGTTTCACAAATAGTGGGAAATAGAGGCCCATCTGTGCCCCGCCAACTATAGAATCGGCAGCTAAGGTTGTCGGCCTGGACCCTCACATTTCTGTTCTATCATTTCCTTTCCTTCGGTTGATGATTTGGTGGCACTGACTCATTGCACGTTTACACGTACGTCTCTGACGTGACCATTCATAAAACACGAAAAATTTTGTTTATTTGTTCATTTTAATTATTAATTTATATTCCCTCCGTTTGGAAAAAGTGTTCCTATTTTGACTTTGTGTAAAAATAAGGAAGTATTAAATTGTAGTTGACTTCCAATTTTGCTCTTGATGTGATAGGTAAAAATAAGATGTGATTGATAGGTTATTAGAGATAAAGTATGATGTGATAGGTAGGGTATGAAAAAGTAAGGGTAAAAATGGGTTTTTAATAGAAAATGGAAGTGTTTTATTGAAAGTGAAAAAAATGAAAGAGGAAGTGTTTTAAAAAACGGAGGGATTACTTTGTATTTGATAAAATAAAATATTGTTGTCGTAATTTATTTCTTGTTACGAAAAACTTTTAACATAATTTTTAAATATGTGAAATTTATTTCTACTTTTTATATCAATCTTTGTATAAAATAAACTTAAAAAACTTAAAGTTTCGCTTCATTTTAGGTAATGTGACAATCATTTTACTAGGGATTAAGGGGCAAGGGGAGAAGGGGATTTTAAGGAAATAAATAAGAATCATTCTCGGATCCAACCAAGCACCATAAGCAACTAAATAGATAAAGGGTCTGTTTGGGAATAACGTTAGAGATTGGCGTTAGCGTTTTGGATAAAATTTTAACAGTGCAGGTTATTTTAAAAACAGTAACGCTAAACGCTGTCCGTCGATAGTCTTTTCAAAACGCTAACGCTAATCGCTAACGTTATTCCCTATCAGGCCAAAAATAAGTAAATAACCAAAGTGTTAGGTACTATTCTCTTTGGCTGGTTCTTATTTGAGCCATTTTTACTTGTTTATGTCCATAATTTCTTGTCATCTAGTTTTTTTTGTCAAAGTTTTGAACTTCAATTTTAATTATATACGAAAATTACTATATTGGGTGATTTGATACAAATTTAAGATGTTCAATTAGAAAAATTCAACAGCAAAGTATTCTTAAATGTAAGAGTAATCTAAGTTGATTGTTTTTTACGTACCTCAAAAACATCATAATATCTTCTAAAAGTGATCAAAACTCACTTTTAGAATTACCTGCGGTATGGAAAGATTTCGGTATCCATTGAAGAGTACTTCTATACTCCATATTTTTTAGAGTGCTATTACGTTATTATTCACTACGCCAAAAACAGTATCAGACAACTGTTGATTAACTACTGTTTATAGAAACACAGTAGTTAAAAATAAGCAGACTACTGTGTGTTTTTCTTGGCTACAGAATAGTAGTCTAGCTACTATGCTTTAAAACTATTTTTAAAGTTTCGAGAAACGGTAATCTATCATTAGTTGTCTGTGTTAGTTTAAAATACAGTTTTTGTTACAACAGTTGTCAATAACAACTTAAGAATACTCTATTTAAACGGTAGTCTGAATTTTAAGTTTAGAACTGTTTTTAAACTTATTAGAAACGGTTATCTATTGCTAGTTGTCTGTTTCATATTGTTTTTTTGCCACAGTTATTTATAATAAGAATAGAACACTCTATTGTAACAGTAGTCTATGAATTAAGGATAGAACTATTTTTAATGTTGTGAGAAATAGTAATCTATTATTAGTAGTGTGTTTCATCTAAAAATACAGTTTTTGTTGCCACAGTTGACAATAACTAGTTCAGACTACTATTTCTAAGCAGTAGTATGGTTTTTTAGTTTATAATTGTTTTTAAACTTATAAGAAATAGTAATCTATTATTAGTTGTATGTTTCATATGATTTTTTTTGCATAATTGTTTATTACTCCCTCTGTCCCGCTATATTCGTCCACTTTTGATTTTTAGAACTGTTCATCTAAGCACTTTGACTCATCAAATTCTCTCAATGTGTAAGCCTAAATATAGTCATGTGTGTACAAAAATAAAAGTGGACAAATACTCTGGGACGGAGGGAGTATAAGAATAGAAGACTCCCTTGTAACAGGAGTATATCTATATAGCGTAGAACTGTTTTTAAAATTCATAGAAACCGTAATCTATTACAATGAAAAATGTATACGCTCTCTAACTTTACTTTCATACTTGCGGGCAAAATTTATACAACAATCAAATAACCGTTGTTTCAAACAAGTATATGGACATGAAAAAATAAACACTTCCATTGAAATGAGAGAAAAAGTACATGGACACAGACTGTGTACTATCTCGCTACACACGAAAGGAATTGGGAATCCATACAATCAATCAATCTCACTCATAAAACGAAAAAAATAAGAAGATGGCGACATCCAAATAGAATCTACGATCCAAGGTGAATGTAGAATGGTGGCCCGAGGAACATAAAGCGTCCGATGTATCCTTCACACACAAGCTTTGGATCGCCATTAGTGTTAGAAACAAGGCCATCCACTAGAGGGGCGTTTTTCTTTGAGTTGACATCTTGAACTTCTTTACTGAACATGCTTCATCAATCTGTTGGGGGGATGGGAGAGACCTGTTCATGCTCAAAAATAACAAAAATCAAAGGGTCAGATAACACCCTGATAGGGTTGTTCGTAGGGACATTTGGGTCAGAAAGAATATCATCATCCCCATTTTTGGAACTGTCTTGTGTGCCATCCAGTTTATCCCCAAGGGGTATAGTGTGTGCATCACCAAGGTGGGGTTCCAAGTAGTCACTTGCAACTTCATTGGGAGGGGCAGTAGTGGCATAATCATCTGATTTATCCACATTTAAGAGACTCTCATTTAAAGGGACAATA